ATAGATTGGTATCGGAAATAGGGGCTAATATCGGACTTATGGACTTGATCTGGACTGGCTGGGATGTTTTCTTGATGTACAATTGCTCCCTGATATAAAACTCTCTTTTATTCACATGAGTGTCAATGAATTTGTTTCTCTAGTCAACCCAGACCAACACACCTATTTTAGAGGATAAATGATACATAAAGTTAAAATGAACTTTGAAATGAACCGTGGGATTTGTTCATGGTGACAGTGTTGAGTACACGTTGCACTGTTCACCAAGAGGTCAGTGGTTCAAATCCACCAGCTGCTCTGCAGGCAGAACTTGAGGCCATCTGCTCCAGTAAAGATTTGCAAAGCTCCAGAAACCTTAGGTAGGGCCGTTACTGTGAGTGGAATTTGACTCAATGGCAGCAGGTAAAGTGGTTTCAACTGACTCAACAGAAAGAGTTTCAAATACTAGCTCTCCAGTTGAGAGAAACAACACACAAACAGATGGTTTTTCATATGAATGTGGACTTGACAACAAAAAGGATAAAGGGTCAATCTAAGAGCTGCACTCTATTTATCATATTACATAGTGCCAGGGTGTCTGTTCACTTTACAATAAAATGATGGTGCAACCGAAACGCTTACCTTATCAAAAAACCATCCAACCCACACCAGGACATCTCAGTCTTCACGACCGACCGCTCTTCCAGAGACGCGCACCCCCTTCCCCACATAAAGGGGAAATGCAAGGACAGAAGCAAAATGCCAGTTTCTCAAAATTAAAGACGTCATTAACTTAGCACTGAGACTAGAATATATGCAACATCCATGCCTTTTTTGAGAAGTTGAAGATGTATTCAATATTCTTAAATAGAACTGTCATGAGGAGGTGGGTAGTTTTCTTCATTTACATTGAAAAAACCTAGCTCTGGAAATTAATAAACCTTTTTTTAAATCTAATAAGAAGCTTCCTCATCCAAAGAAATTGCCTGGTCTTTCCATAAGCTATATGTGTACTTATTAGTATTGTCTATAGGTAGAATAATTTTAGTTATCAGAAAATAGATTCATCTTTATTTTAATAGTACATATGCCATCGAACACTGGACTCATACAAGCTTCCCTTTTTTAAAAATTTCTTGCTTTTGAAAAAAAATGTTATCACAAAATCCACTCGCAGGAAAAGAGATGGCTAAGTAACTACATAAACGGATTTTTAAAGCACTCCGAAAGAGGTTACAACAACAGGACATTACCCATGATTTTCCAGTTACTGGCATATGAGCAACACAATATGAATATTTTAAAATGAACAGAATAATTTTAATTTATAATTTTTCCATCCAAATGGTTCCATGCTACGCCTTCTGTAGCGAGAGCGGGTCCCTGGAACCGTGCCTTGCTGTTGCTGGATGAATATAGAAGGGGGAAAATCACTATGACTAGGAATGGAAATAACGTCCCCACAGAAACGGCAGCCAGCTCTGAAAGCAGCAGAGGTGGAGACCAATAGCCCCCTGGTGGGCTGCGCCTCAAATTCAATCACGGAGCAAGCAGCAGCTGGAACACGCCATCAGCAACAACAGGAATAATGGCCTGCGTGGCTCCTGAATTAAGGTCACTGAAATGTTCTCGACAGCAGCCACCTGGTGCAAAATGCTGATAAATGAGAGGTCCTGGGCAGAAGGCGAAAGCCCAACCCTTAGCAGAATTTGAGCTTGACGATTCCATCCCTTTCTTAGTTTTTCCTTAACTGATAGTGCCCTAAATTTGAGAGGGTGACGGTGTAAAGTGATAGGAAGGTGCTTCCAAAAGTTCATGGGAAAATGGAATGAAAAAACAATGAAAACCTTTTAGGAACTTCTTGAAGCCCTTCTGTAGCTGAAGCATTCATTTGAAGGAGAGCCAGTTCCTCAAACAGGATGCTGAACGTCACCTCACACCGGAGATGAACCTCCATGTGGACTCCCAGCACCCACCCAGCCACCAGGTTGGGCATGCATGGCCCTGTCATCACTCACAGTGCAAGCAGTTCTTGTGGGGTCAATCTATATAGGTTCAGAGAGAACCTGAGGGTTGTAGTCTATAACCACTAAGGCACGCTTAACTCGGCGCCCTTCACTGGCTAGACTTTCAGATGGAAGTGCTTGCCTAACAGCTGTGTTTCTTACGGGGACCAGTTATGAGTAGTACACCTGTGGGAGTTACATAATCTGGTGTCAATTTGCGGATTAAGAGTATATGGGTGGAGTCTAGTCTGTCAATCCGGAGATAGCCAATGAGACCTCTGTGTGGCCATGGCCTTCTCCTGAGAATTCTGGGGACTGCTGTTTTTTTCCTCCACACTTCTCTCTCTCTACTCACTTCCATCAAGACATCCCTGAAGAGAAGCCACATGGACCTAGCAGGATGCAGCCCTGGGAACTTGAGGAGCCCCATGGAGACCTGTCAGTGCTGACATGTTTACAACGCCACTGGATCCAAAGACTTTCTACCCACTGGCCTGTGATCGTCCTGCATTTGGCGTCATTGCATGTGTTTCGTGAGTTTGAAGAGGACTTTATAGATTGTTATCAGACATATGGGCTAATATCGGATTCATGGGCTTGGACTGGACTGGGTTGGGATGCTTTCTTAATGTACAGTTACCCTTTATATAAGACTTTCTCTTATACACATGAGTTTCTATGGATTTTGTTTATCTAGTCTACCCAGACTAAAACAACGCCTTTGCATATTTGCTTCTTTATTCACCATCAAACCTGTATTATTAAGTCCCCAAGAGTCAGACTCGACTCGACTCGACTCAACGGCATACAGTGACCTTGGTTAAGTCTGCCTACTCTGTTGGGCTGCTAACTGTGAGGTCAGCAGTTTGAAACCAGCAGACAAGGCATTCTACTCCTGTAAAGAGTTCCTGTCTCGGAAACCCACAAGGAGAACGTCTACTCTGTTCTATAGAGCCACTGGAAGTCAGACTCGACGTGGTGGCAATGAGCTGTCTATTATGCAGCTCTTCCAGCTGCTGCCAGTTGGGGATTCCCCATCAAACTTCAGT